GACACAAACTAAAGAATTTTGCTTAAGATTTTTTCCTGCTTAAAAAGAAATTGTAGCATTTCTGTTTTTTTGTCAAGTACCATGTCTCAAGAGCTGCACAGGTTCAACCCAGCCTCATGACACTCAAATTTTACCACTTGAATGCTGGAGAACAGCATTCACTTGCTCCATGCCATGCAAACTGAACGTACATGCAGTGATTTAATAAAAAAGAAATTATAGTAGCTAGATATGGAGTAGAAATTGCTCTTTCAGACTGTGTGGTAGATTCTTCCTGGTAGTTTCAAGGTCATTCAGTGTAACCCAATTGCTCAGCTCTCATGATGTGCTCCTCGGTTGCAGCCTTACCTGTAGTTTTCATCTAGTGGTGTACAAAAAATGCTTCAGATGCTTGTGTGTGTTTTGGTTTTGGTTAAAAACTGCTAAAAAAAAATAAAAAGGGGCTGTGTAAAGCTATTCATGGAATCAAAGGAAAAATGTGCTTCTACAAATTATATTGATTTGCACAGTAAAACTGGTGGAATAGGTGTTTGATTTAATTCTAGAGTGCTGGTGTTAGTGCTGAAATATGGGGTATTATTAAAATTATTATTAATCGCAGGTGTTGATATAATTTATCTTGAACATTTTACTTTTTCAGAAGGAACACAAAAATTCTCAGTGTGGGTTGAGACAATGCTCTATCTAGTGCTTTTTCTGGTTGACAGTGGCTTGATCCAGAAGGTGAAAAAAGGGAGTTATAAAAAACCCACAACTTACAATGGGGTGCTAAGGTGGCTTCCAAAAATGATGTCTTTTTGGCTCTTGTCCACATCTATGTTTTACCTTGACTTGCTAGCAGTGGCTAATCTTAAAGCATTTGGATCAGTCTTTCACTTCATGTAGGTGCTGATGTTTGAGGAGGAGGAGGTCCAAGATCCTGCTCTTTCAGAGGGAGAGGCTGGTCATCAAGGAAGCCAAAGGGTTTAATACCTGATCAGGAGGAGAGGGAATGCATTGTCTGTGCCTCCACAGGCACAGGCTCAACTGATCAGATGACAAATGAACTAATATCAGGTTAAAACCCCAGGCTAGAATAGGAAAACAAAGCAGAATAAAATGTCTTCAGACTCACTGGATCTGTTTTACTTGGACATGTTGGAAGAGTGGGGAAAACAAAAATGCACTATGTGAAAAGGAGAAAAGATGCCTTGGAAATCACACCCATTAGAGGAACTGGATCGGTGCTGTGGAATTTCAAATGCAAACTTACATACTTGATACGATTCTAGGTATGGTTGAAAGCTACACAAAGAACGCTTCTCTTCTGTGTTTAAAGGAAAGCAGCAAATAAAGTAATAAGAGAAAAAAAAACAACTTAGGAAATCTGATTACAGAAAATCTCTGTGAGTGAATGAAGATGTTTTTGTCTGCTGGCTTTTCAAAGTAGAGGTCACCAAAAGACACAGGTTCAGGTATTTAAAAATCTCATTCCTAGTAAGTACGAACGCACGTGTAGGGTTGTGTGGATGTGTCCCACTGCTCTGCCCTCTTCTGAGTGATGCCACAGGACACTTGTGCCATGGCGGATGGCACAGCCTCGATGGGAGCCTTTCCTACAGCACTCAAGTTCCACAACCCTCCTGTGTATTTCTCTTCCCCTTTCGTAGGTCATGTGTGATCTCATGCCGTTGTTTCACTTACCTGCTTTAATTTCCCAGATAATTATGGATAGATCTCCATGACAAAAAGTCTCCAGTGCCCCTGTGCAGCTTAGGAAGCCTAGGAGTGAGGGAGGCTTGGACATATACACGCACAAGCACTTTTCTTGGATCGTTTTACAGGGAAGTGCTGGGAGAGAGGAGCAGACAGAAGGGTATGTCTCTGAGATCTTGTATCATGACCGATACCCTGCCAAGCTGCTCCGGTCGGCTCCTGTCCCACGCACAACGACAAAGCTGGACTACTTGTGGATGAGATCCCATTGATTAGTTCCAGACCTAAAGCTCAGATTTAAGGTAGTGCAAATATCCTTGTGTTGGCTAGCTCCTGAATTAGAAACATTAACTTTTTTTTTTCTCCTCGGGATTGGGAAGCTTGAATTTTGCTGAATTCAACATCCTGAAAAGACAACAGTATCATGTGTCCTTAATTCTGTACAAAGATTTTTCTGGTCATTAAATCATTTATTGTGATATTGGGTGGAGTCAGCTCTTTGACCAATTTTCCGTGCTTTTGAGAATAAATAGTTTTAAAATTTTCTTTTTTTTTTCCCCCCCACTTTATAATTTGTTAGAGAGCAAATTAAATACCCACTCGTCCCTGCTCAGTAGATAGCACCTTTTTCGTCCTGAGTTTTGTATGAGTGATTGCTTTGAATAAAGTTAAGCTTCATGGTAGGTTTAGGAAGGCCATTGTAGTAAAATCAACCACAAGTTAAAAAATACAAAGAGTTTGTGAGAGGCCATATAACAGAAACATACAACTTGACAAATTAAACGACTCTAGAATTTTTTAGACATGATATTTTTCACGATATTACCTAGTTCAGAGAAAATTATTGGAGCACTTTATGTAACATTAGAAATTATCCAGTCAGTTGTCCCTGGAAGCATATTGGTGCTGCACAATGAGCTATATTTCATGCTCTGGAACAGACCTAATCTTACAAGATTCAGTTCAGGATCACTGTACTCAATGCAGAAATACTGACCTGATGGTTCACTTTGCTAATTGCAATCATTTTCCGGAGGATAAATTCACTGCAGCAGATTATATTACCTGAACGAGTTCACACCAGAACTTTAGCATGAAAAGGTCATGTAACTGTCAGCACAACAAAATCCACAGTGTGATTTAAAGTTTGTTATTAACCCATGTAGTAAAAGAGAAATAGCTTTATTTTATGTTGATAGGTATTCCTGTTTTGCTTGGATCACTGCAGAGGAATAACGAATAGATGGAAGAGATGGTATTTGACTACTGTAGAAAATGCCAATGCTAAGAACCATTTCAGAAAAGTGGTGCTGGATTTGCTATGACCGACAAATGTTAAGTAACACTTGCTACATCTTTCTGGCTTTCTTTGTCCTGCTCCAAAAACAGATGTTGGCAGTTGACACTAGGCTTTCTGCAAGTTATTTGCTCATCCTTCAGCTGTTTCACCAACAGTATGGTGATACCCCCTCTCAATATCCACTCTACAGTTCCTTCTAATTCTGAAGTACGTATCATTCCAATCAATATTCAGTATATTTTAACTGTGATCACAATTAAGGGTGTCCTGAATTCTCTGAAATAAGTGTACCGAGGTAGATTTTTCTTAAAATGGCAAGAAAACCTCTGGACCATGTGCATGTATAAATTTTCATGCCCCTACATACTGTCTAGCCAGCTCATCGATATCTGGCATGCAGATTTATTCCTGTGGTGCTCAGCATGCAGTGTAACAGCCCAGTAGTAGTGTAAAATCATTTCAGAAGCGTGAGAGGAATCCACTGAAAACTTTAAGAGGAGCAAGTCTCTACAAAAAGCATAATATGCAGGAGACAGTAGTAAGTAATGAATTGACATTATTCATAAGCTTAGGGATTTATGCTATTGTAATTGGGAATTACACGGAGACAGAACGGTTGAGATGATCATAAAAGGAATGTTAATTCTGTATTTTAAAGACGGGCACGAGCATCTGTAGATCTATTTAAAACTTGCCTGTTCTAAAAATTCTGACTGCAAATAAACAAGACTCAAAGAGGAGATCTTTCAAAGAGCCAAGACCTAGGTTGTAATATTTTTAGATACACAGGATGCAACAAAAATTGTTAAATGGCCACAGTAAAGTCTTCAGGTCGTGATTGTTTCAAGGTGGAGGAAAATCAAGCTCCAGGCTGGCAATAGGGTGGCTTTGGCTGAGGTCCCACTGTGGGGAACAGTGAGATGTGAGGCTGATGAAACAAGGTGCCTGTCGTTTGGGTCTTACAGGTCATACAGTGTATAAATAGTCTTGAAAACAGGTGAACATCTTGTAAATGGTGATTCCCCAGAAACACAATGGTAGGGCTCTGGGTTTTGCTTGTTAGAACCGCTAAGTGAAACCACAGCGTACACAGCATGAATCCCTTCCAGCACCCGTCGCTTGGAGGTAAAATTCTAATGGCTTTGTTCTAATGTAATTGCTTTTAAGTTTTTAAGCCAATGTAAATTGGCTTTTTATGAGAAAAATTCTGCATATGTATCCCCATGCACGCAGTCAAGAGGCAGGAGAAATTTGCAAGAGAAACAGCAAGTCAGTAAAATAATCTTCATAAAGTTTGCCATGGTGGAATTTCTATCTGTGTATATTGGGAAACAAGAATGTCCAAGAATTTAACGTATCAAATATCTGATGCGTTAAGATCGTGTCTTTAAAGGCTGCATATCACATGTAGAGATGGAAGCAGTGACCTGTACTGTTACTCAGCCCTTTCCACAGTAAGATCCTGGTTTTGCTTACGACTTACTCAAATTGCAGTAATCGAGGCTGAAATTTTCCGTGAAACTGCAGTCAAGGAGGAGTTGTGAGGTCAACACAGCAGTAAAACCACACTACTAAACTCCTTGCAAAACTGGCCCCTGAAAACATGGAGGCTTTTGCCCGTCGCTTTCTCTGCGCACCCCTTTTCCCTCGGAGGGATGGCCTTTGCCACTTGATGTTATTAAGATAAATCCGTGCACGTTTGTGTAGCGTTCCGTTGTTATGCCAATGAGTGGCATGATAAGGCTGTGAGGAAATGAAAGAACTTTGCATTTAGTTTGGGTGCTGGTTGAAACGAAGCCTGGCTAAGGCTAGAATTGAAAACCCCACGGAGCAGTGGTATCAACCTTCCTATCTGCCGAGCGAGGGAAGCTCGAGCTGGGCACCTGAAGCTCCGCCAGGAGTCGTCGGATGATCTCAAAGCAAGTCCTGGCACTACCGAGTCATCACTTTTGTATGTATTTAAGAATATCCTTCTCATTCTTCTTGTCTCTCTGTTTTTTCCTAGTGAGCGTTGAAAAAGTGGAGTTAAAGGGACTGGCACACAAGAAGAATGAAAGAACTGTTGAATATTCCTTTGAGGTAAGTTTTTGTGATTGGTTTTATTACTGTGAAAGAAGAGAGGCTAGTACTTAAGGAGGAGTTAAATTTTCAAACCTTATTTTTAGATCCTAGAAACTGGTCTAGTGGAGCTCCTTGGGGAGAGGTGCTAGTTGTATTTTATAATGAATGATTTGGAAGTGGGCATAAATTACTGTTGATGAACGTTTGTGGATGACACAGTGAGACACAGGCAAAATAAAAACGTTCACTCTGATGCAGCAGGTTGTGGCAAAGTATATATTTAGGGGAAAAATATCATGCCATGCTTACAGAATGGGTATCGTGCCTGGAATGCAGAAGCTGGAAAGAATTTAAATCTTCATCTGGACAAAGAAGAGAATTTAGACTCCTAGGGTCAGTGTTGCACGTATGGGAAAAGAGGTAGGATGGGCATTTATCTTTGCATTCAGCTTCGAGGGGAGTGTGAGACTGTGGCGTATGGTTCACGTGTTACTGGTTTTAAAAGGGATGTTGAAGAATACAGAAGGTATCTATGGAAATTATTCAAGGCTTGAGGAAAACGCCATGTAGTGAGAGAGTTAAAGAACTTGACTGAAGGATGACTTTGAGTATCATATAAAGGCGTTTTCAAAGGGAAGGAAATATTTTATGGTAAAGGAGGCGCTAATCGAGCAGAAAAAACCATAACGGGAACTGTTGTCTGAAAACTGGAGCCAGACTAATTCAAACTGGAAGTGAGAATAGTTTCTTTGGAATGAGAGTGGTTAGCCACAAGCTGCTGGGAGAAGTGGCTTCCTCCCCGTTCGTACGCAGCTTTGGGAGGTTCGGTCATTGCTCACGGTTTCTGCGGAGGGATGGCTCCATTCTGTGAGACCTTGTGTTAGCAGCGGGGACTGGGTGCTGGGTGCTGGCGGAGAGAGCTACAAACCGCTTTTCTCCCGTCTAGTTGGAATGTTGTATTCCAAAATTCAGACTGCAAAGCCTAGAAAACGTCTTTGGTTTGCTTAACAAGGCAACGGAGCCAAACAGTTGGTCAGAAGAGGAGAACCCAAAAGAAAACGGACAGTAGAATTTCAATTGTCTTCAACTTTTACCGAAAAGAAAAAGTTATTCTTAAAAACCACCGCCCAAGATAGAGCGTTGGTTCAGCATCTTCTTGTGATGCTGACAGCATTAACCTCTGCATGACTCGATTCACGGATAATGTTCCGAATTTTCTGAATCCCACGACTGTTCCCAATGTCATCAGTATTAGAAAGGATTTTTTCAAAAAGTTTTAAAAATCTTTATGAAGTATGCAGTGATCTGGACTCCAGTAACATACCAGTATCTTGCGAAACATCTTTTCCTATTATAATTTTTTCTATAAATAACAGAAATTACTTTTACTATTGCTCTTGACAGCTTGTAACTGAGAGAACAGCACATCGTTTAGCTGAGCGAATAAATTGCTGTTTGCTGGGTTAGAAACCCAACTATTAAATGTTTTCTTTAGTAGCTTGGGAATAGAAGGTCAATAGATGGAGCAATGTGGTGTTTTCAGCATCGCTTCGCCGTGCTATTGTTCCCTCTATTTACGGCTCACATTATTGTTTTATAAGCATTGAAAATTATAACAAGCATTGAAAACGTAAGACGTAACAAATGTCGAGTTATTACAAAACTAGAAAGAAGGAGAAATTTCTCCTATATTTTCTGAAATTTCTCATGGCTCTAAAAAAAGCCTTCATTTATCACCAACTTTAAAAAAACAAGCAAAAAACCCCACAGACTTTGTAAAACCAGAAACTGCTCAAGTTTTCTTTCTTCTTTTTTTTTTTTCCCTCCCTTACTTTTTGTGTAACAGCCCCGCAGAGAGGAAATTCCTCCATTATGTAATATATTTTGAAATACTCTCCTCTCCCCAGTCTTTTTGGCAGCATCCTGACGGCTGGAAAAACTTTGTGTATGTTTTCAGTTGTCATTGAAACTAGTGTCATGTGAGAAGACGGCCTCCTGACTCTTAAACACATAAAGCCAGCTTCTTCCCTTATAGAACCGCTGAAGATCCATATGCTTTCCAAAGGCCTTGGATAGATATCATGAGTCTGAAGGCATTTCTCACTGGCCAGCCTCATGCTGATATTCCTTGTGCCAAGAAATCGTGACTTTTGGCTGAGTTAAACTCATCATCTACCAACCAGGAAAAGCCTCTGTATCTGAGAACGTGATGACTTAATGCAGAAAGCGTATGGGAAGAGATTCCGAGCTATTTCCTTTTTCTAGGATGGTGTCTGAGCAGCGGGAACTGCAGGTTTCATGTCTGAGGTTTCGCCCTTTTTTGCAGCGGGGTGGTTGCGTGGTGTATGGAGTTGGTTAATTATAATTATACGTGGTGAGTCGTTCGTATCGTACATCACATTCTACAAACCAGCTGTTTTCCTCATTGGTGTCACACATCACAAACTTTCTTGCAGTCTCTGGGGGACATTTGATACCTATTATTGATTTTTTGGTATCAGACTTAAATCCTTGACTATTAGTTGCTAAACTGAAGACTTTTTATTTCTTAAGGTCCTGTGGTCTGATTCTTCAGTGACGTTGGTAACCAAATCTTCCGCTGAAGTGACTGAATTTATTTCAAAGGTAAAGGCAATATGAAGAATACTTTGAAAACAGAGAGATGTTTTGTCCCTGTATGTAATTTTGTTTAACGACCTTTTTCAAAATGGACTGAGAGGATACAGATAGATTGAATTTCATAAAATGTTTGACTTACACATTGCTGTGCCTTGAATCTCTTATGAGTAACGAGTCTTCTTTTCACTTATTGTTTGTAATATCCTCCACTTTTAGCTATCTCAGCTGTATCCAGAAGAAAACTTGGAGAAATTCATTCCTTGCCTAGCTGGTCCAGATTCATTTTACCTAGAACGGAACCACATGGACCTGGAATCGGACCTTAGGTATGCTGGGTTTTTTGTTGTGGTGGTTTTTTGTTCTTGACACTTGGCTTTTTTCGCCAAGTGGAAGAAAGAAACAGGAAATGGAAATATTATGTTCATATTCCAAATGACTTTCAAGAAATTAGAGCCTGATCCTGAGCATTATTTCTTGATGTTCTCTAATTCCAATGCGTAAGAATTTTTCAGGAATTCTTTCTTCACGAATACATATGGTAACGATATTCTGTATTAAGCTTCTTGGAGAACTGGCATTTCCTTATTCCTTGTTAAAAACAAATAGAGGATCATTTGCTTTGCAGAAGCTTGGTTTGGGCTCAAAAAACAGCCAAAACTGCTTTGAAAAAACACCCAAAACTCAGGAAAAAAACAAAATAGTTGCCCAAATAGTCACCCTTCTGTATTGAGAGAAGGGTTGTGGGGATTCTGCCCTCCGCCACCCTCTCACAGAGTTTCTTATTGTTTCAGTTGTTTTAAGTTGCCGTGGTGTTTATTTTATTTTAAGAAGATAGGTAGGTATGTGTATATCATAGCCATTAAATTTTTGGCAGCCGTTAACCGCTGAGAAATTAGATAGAACCTCCACAAATCACCTGCCCATTGCCTAGTCTAAACCACCACTTTAAAAACCATCCTCTGTAGCAGGTCACATCAGTTCTCTCTTCCTAAATACTGAAACAGTTTTGCTAGGAAATTTGAGGGACTAGAAATATTTTCAGCTACTACTGTCTTTTTCCACGCCAAGTGTTAAATGCCATTTTAAACTACTAATGAACTTTCGTTAGAGCTTCTGCTAAACACCTATTTTCCCTAAGTCAAGACAGACTTTTGCCCACCGTTGGCAGAGCCACACTGGGTATTGTTTTTCCATCATGAGAGCCAGCAGGTGCATGCCTAGATTATTTTTCATGGCACACAGCGTTAACGTTTCAGACGGTCCCTTCTGTGCTTTGAGGATCACAGCCCCTCGGTGAGAATTACACAGGGTAAGAGAATGTTTAGCTGCTGTTTAGCTAGCAACAGTCTCTACAAATCTAGGTTAATAGAGCAGCAATCTGCCTTTACACAGCAACAGTTGTGTCTTTGGAGCAGAGGAAGAAGCTGCTTTGTTAGGTGCTACGTCTTTGAAAAATTCAGGCACGATCTGGGATTTTTCAAGGCAGAGGGCACATCCGCTTTGTGTATGGTTGGGTTAGCTTTTAATCAAAAACTTTTTGAAAATGGCAAAGAGATGGTCAAAACGCTCTCGTTATTAAACAATTTTCTGTGTGTTTTCAAATCTGTAGAAGGTTTGGCAAAAGGCAGTCGAGTTTGCATGACAACGAGAAGTTTAGTCATGTTGATAGAACACACTTTATACATTGCAAAGTTTTAGGAGATAGCCATTTTTTCCCCTAAAAGAGGCACAGCGATCCCAGGGAAAATGTGACATAAGTTTTACAGCATTTTTCCCACAGACTCTGCATCTGCTGTTTGTCTCGAAGAGGAGAAAATTAAATAACAGATACGTCTATCTTTTATGGTCTTCAGGTTCATGAATTTGAAAGGAATTTTTCTATTTTATATTTGAACATCTTCTGCCTTACAAGTGTTTAGTGTTCCTAAATTAAACATCTTTACTGAAACACTGAACAGAGTGAAAGCAACACAACGGTACCATGTGCATTAAGGATAAGAATATCCATGGGTTTCAAGTCTACTTTGATTCAGAATTGCATGGTGACTAATTTGAAAGGTCTTTTAGTTTCCAAATTTCAAAGTCAAGTTCAAAATTCCATGTACAGTCTACAGTCACGATTGCATAGGCAGCTGCGAATCAATTATAACAGAATGGGGGGGGTTGTTTGCTTTTGATGAACATACAGGTATTTGGCACCATTACCTTCCCATGTGGTGAAAAATGACCATGTTAGAAAGTTCTTCAGCACTTCATCTCCTTCACAGCAACTTCAGAGTTCAAGTAAGTTGAAATAAAATTTTGAAATATTTTTTGTACTGATGTACATTTCATAAATTGATGCTATTTTTAACTTCTGTTCCCTGTTTTTAGATCCTGGCAACCCTTCCCTTTATAAAGTAGGAACTACGCTGGGAACATCTGGAAGGTGAAACATTTGTTCTGTTTACATTTCTTCTGGTTAGTTGTAAAAACCCATTACATAGGTAATTATCTGTCTCCCCTTGGGGATTGATTTGAGTCTACACTTCCCTATTCATCTGTAGAAGATTTTAAGAAATTCTAGCCGTCGCGTGCGGTCTGCCCAAACCAGTCAAATGGTAAGAATGTTGGTGTAGGGTCCTAGCACTCCTACTGTTGCCATTTGTTCATTCTTTATATGCTTTAAGAAAACACATCTTATAATAATAACTGCAAGAGCTCAGTGTGGGTGATTGCTTGAAGTAAAAGTTTTGCAGTGAGTTGATCGCAAAGACAACAAAACTGAGGTAACAGACAGTTTGCAAGACAAAACATAACATGATATAATTACTGGAAATGGAAGATAGAATCCAACTTCAGCTTCAAAAATAAAGGATATAAAATGAAATTACCATTGAACCAAACTTTCTAGCATTGTGACAGAATCTGTCATCTTTGGTGGTTATGAAAAATCCGCAGTGGCTCTCTTGTCCTAAGAAATGTGCGTGTTAAGGGAAGAATTTAGGGAAACCTTTTGACCCATGTTATATGGGAGATGAGAGCAGATGATGGCAGTGTTCCTGCTGGCAGCAAAACCTACGAGCACCCATTCCTGAGCAACGTTTCTCAAAACATTTAAAGCTGGAGCTACTAGTTGGCATCAACCCTTCAACGTTGAGCTGTGGTGATGGATGATTTTTTTGTGATCCGCTGCTTACTGCAGAAGTCATCATGGTCTCAATCCCATACTTTAAAAGGATTAATGATCACCTGAATTGTAGGCACGGATCTGGTCATCCCTACTATAAGTCTTCGTGAGCAAAGGGAGACCAGAGGATCGTGGAAAGGGTTTTTTCTCTCTACGGCATATTTGAACACTTCCTTGTACGGCAGGGGTTTCCTTTCAGAGGGAGGAAGGAAACTTCTTCCAAGGGAGGTTCAGGTCAGCCTTGGGAAGAGAAGGGAAGGAATTCTCTTGCTTTTTGTTAGGATTTAACAAGCTGAGAACTCATTCACTTAAGAGGCAATTTTCGTTTTCTCCAACAAAAACCAGAACCCTCCACGGAGCCAATATTGTGGGTTATTTTGCCACTTCCACATGTAAAAAAAATTTCCGCAGGATTATATTTGGGCTTCTTTTAATAATGCAAAGCTGAACCATGGCCGTTCTCTCTAAACCTTTTTTGAATCCCAGAGAGGTGGTAAAACATATATTATCTGTGATTCTAGAAGGAAACCTCTGCTTAAGCTGAACGTGAGGCTCACTATTTGCCATAAACTGCCCTGTTTTTATTGTGCTGCCGAACAGCACAGGTACGAATCCGTAACTTGGATCAAACAGCAGGTTTCACCAGCAGTCCTGGAAGCGGTGGTTTTTTAGGGTGACACAGATTCCCCGAGCTAAATCAAACCCTGTTTCTATTTTGCAGACCTATATGTGGCGTGGCTGGCATTCAGTCTTCTCAGAATCACGTCCAGCACTCGGCTGCTGCTCCCGTTGCACTACCCCACTGCTCCCACGCGGGAGGCACCGGCTCCTCGCTGGCCTATCGCACCCCGATGGACACCTCTTCTTCACCCATGTTAATGTCTTCCAGCCCACAGACCCCTCAGACACAGGAGCAAAACGGGATCTTAGACTGGCTCAGGAAGCTGCGGTTGCACAAATACTATCCTGTCTTCAAACAGCTCACGATGGAGAAGGTAGGGCAGTAGGTGGAGGAAAGGGAACCAGCTTTTAAGTTCTCCTCATGTTCTCCAGCGCCGAGAGAGAGGCTGCAAACATCTGCGCTGAGAATTGCAGAAGTTTTTGGCAAGTGCTGTGAAGGTTTGCGCTCTCTTGGAGCAATAATATTTTGATGAAAACCTTCTTCCCCTTTTCGATCGGCGGCGTGTGCGTTCTTCACCGAACGCCTGAAGATCCAGCTTGCTGTCTCAGGAGCTCTGCTTTGGCTCCCTGTTCGTCCCTTTGATGTGCAATAGATAACTAAAATTTGTTGATTATTTTTTTGTTTATTTCTGCTTCTCAATTGATTTTTTTTTTTCTCCCGAAGTACTTGATTATCTTTATTTTAAAAAAACAGATTCGTAGAGACTTCTGACGTGAACATTAGTGTGTGCACGTACCTGCAAGTGACTGTGAGGTGTTTGTTTTCTGCAGAAATTCTTATGGAAAAATAATCCCCTATGTATTTGCATAATAAGAGCCACGAATGTTACCAATGTGTGCTGGATTTTATCTAAACAAGCTACTTTTACAGCATTTACCCAGCTCCATCTGTGAAATTCGTGTCCTCTCACTGTCTTTAAGCCTTGAACGCCCTCCAGTGGACTGAGTGCTTGGGTTGAGCCAGGTCTAAATTGGGATGGCTTTGTGCTGGTTATAGTATGTTGTATGTATTTAATTATAATCAGTTACCAGAGTCTTCTGATTTTATTTTCTTTGTTATGTGAGGGGAAATATATAGTGGTTTTTTCTTCAATAAAGTAGCAAAACTGTCTGTATTCTAGTGTGTTTTTAAAAAGCATGTATTATTATGCATGCTTTGCTGGCTTTAATTTTCATTACATTATACTATAAATGTATTTTATTTTCGTATTCTATGTCTATATTTTATTCTAAAATTTAAATTTGGAGTATATTTTCCAATTAAACTGATGGGATGACTGCACATGGATTTCTGTGTTAAATGACACAACTAGGAAAACTAGAGTGATTTTTTTTTCAAGAGAACCAGATCTTTAAACTCATTTACAGCACAAAGCTCTATTTTAACATGTACACGGATTACTTCATCTTTATTGTGAATAGTTAATATAAGCACACACCTAATTGAATTTAATATAGGGATGTTCTTTCTTTAATTCCAGGCCCCCACACTTTTATTCTACACCAATTCTATAATTTAAAACTGGAGTAGGGAATTTCTTTGAATTAACATATGCTAAAGAATGGCTTTAAAGTTGCCTTTCAGAATTGATCTGTACTGAAAATGTAAATAAGAATATTTCAGGCTGTAAAACTAAGCACACGTTTTTTCTTTTCAAGTTTCTGAGTCTTACTGAGGAAGATCTGAATAAGTTTGAATCCCTCACCATGGGAGCGAAGAAGAAGCTCAAGACCCAGCTGGAGTTGGAGAAGTAAGTGGCAGGGAAAAACTCTCTTTTTCAGGTCATAAGATATTTAATGCAGGTTTTACAGTGGGCTTTGCTTTCCAGAGCATAAATCTACCAGGATTCCCACCTATAAATATGGATAATGTTTCTCTCTCTTCCTCTGCAGTTGTGTTGGTTACTTTGAAAAGCTCACTAGATCATATTTAGTACTTACTGGTTTATGGTCGCCTGTCAGGGTTGTGATTGAGAAGCAAATGTAAAGAATTTGTGAACTCTGTTTTAAAAGGATATGGCAACCCCGTCATAACATAAATGCCTGTCTTCACCTGCCACGTTGGCAGCTCTTCTAAGGAAGGGGACGTTTTAAAAATAATTTACAAAAGATACCTACTGTTGTTTAGGGTTTTGGGTTTTTTTTAAACTCCTACAACAGGTATTATAAAGCAGGTGTGCAAAGCCCGTGTAGATTTTGGGCTTACCACCTACCTGAGATTCATGGGCGAGGAGAGAATCAGGCAAGCAAGCCACTGAGCTTGTAGGGTTTGCAAGCTCAGGTGCTGCACACAGAAAGTCAGGATGCCCAGCAGGACTTTTTCTTTGTAAGACCTAACAATTTTTTGGCTTCCAGTCAGTGCAGACAGAGCACAGCTACTTTTGAGAGCCCCCTTGGTGTCCCGCAGTGGCCCGAGCCAGCTCTGGCATCTGCTGACTGCTGGAGCTGAGGTGTGGGTTGCCAGATGATACCTGTAGAGGGTCTGGACTTCTGACTTTGTATGGAGACAAGCCACGGAAAGCCAGGGCTGCTGCAGGTAACCCTGGTCTCGGGAAGATCACAGCTTTATGTGGTGAAGGTGATAGAAAGAACGCCGGTGCTCTGTGCAAAATTAATAGCCCTTTGGGGAAACTGAGGCAACAGATTGTCCTGTTTTTTATATCTCCCCTTGGAGGGAAGTGTGTATTCTGAAGCTACTGCAGTTACTTAAAAAGCAATTAAAAAATCCAAATCCATGCCCATTTATTGAAGCTCCGTGACAGCATTTTTCATCAGTTTTAGTTTTTCCAGAGCGTGCTTGCGAAATGAAAACTTTGGACTGTGTTTGGCTTCTCTTTGGTTTTGATGTGCATGGCTAGGTTTGGGATGTGCTTAACAGTGTGTCATAGAATTTAGTCACCATTTGGTGATGTTTTACCTGGTGCAAATAAGAGCATTAGTGTTGTAATCAGATGGCAAGTAGTCCAAATGTAACTGCTGGCAAGAAGCTACGGTCAGGATTGATGTTGTTTCCAAATGTTTCCATTTGAAATCAGCGTAATGTTTTAGTGGATTATTTACTGGGCTTTGTCTGCTTCAGTTTCATTCAGAAATTGATTTATCTGTTGCTGTGCTTTAGCCAGTTTTTGTTTCTCCTTCACCCTGTAGAGAAAAATCGGAGAAACGGTGCCTAAACCCCACAACACCTTCTTCAGTTACCAGCAGCGGTGTGGCAAGAGTTCCCCCCACCACGCACGTAGGACCCATCCAGAGTATTCGTGGCAACCATGCTGCAGGTAAGGGAGAGGAGCAGAGGACACTGCTGTGCTCTCCAGGCTGAGTGTGTCCTTGCACAAGAGCAAGCTCATTCTTACACTGCTTTTTCACCAACCTGTCGTAAGCTTTATCTTCCTAAATGTCGTTGGCTTAATAGGGAGCAATCAGAAAGGCCGATTTAGAGTGCAGTAAAAAGCAGCAGTCACCTCTTCAGGGGTGCTGTGTGAGTGGCTAGCTGCACCAGTCAGCGACCATCAACCCTCCAGAGTTAGGGTTAGCTGATGCTTATCTCTCTAAATCTCGAGCTTCACAAGGGCATGTAGTGACAGGACATGGGGCAATGGATTTAAACTGAAAGAGGGGAGATTTAGATTAGATCTAAGGAAGAAATTCTTCACTCAGAGGGTGGTGAGGCACTGGGACAGGTTGCCCAGAGAAGTTGTGGCTGCCCCATCCTTGGAAGTGTTCCACGCCAGGTTGGATGGGGCTTTGGGCAACCTGGTGTAGTGGAGGGTGTCCCTGCCCATGGCAGGGGGGTTGGAACTGGATGATCTTTGAGGTCCCTTCCAGCCCAATCCTTTCTGTGATTCTATGTTAGGTGGTGTTGTGGAACAGTTGTAATTAGGTCCTGTCAAGCAGGTGTCACCCCCTCTTGTTTGCGTTCCCTGATTGCTCGCACCCCCTTTATCCGCAGAGCTGCGAGTGGATGTGGATCAGCCAGCCCACCCGCTGCCC